TTTAAAAAAATTAAAATTATTTAATATTTTGTTATATTGATTTATATTATATTATATTTTATATATATATATATATATAAACATATTAACCATTAATTTAAATATATACAATGAAATAACATAATTTTAAAATTTTGTATAATAGAGTCAAGAAACTATTTGAGGAATAGTTGATGAGTGCAATGTATTCAATAGGCAAGTCTGACCAATCCACACATAAGGATAGATTAGACTTTAAAATTGATTACTTGAATAGAATTAGGTCATTTTGATCTACTTGCTAAGTCCGACAAGTCATGGACATAAATTGGGTTGGTGTGCGGACTTATGAGTTAATACGCTAAATTAATAAGTGGAATAATCTAAACTATAAATTTGTAATGTATTATATAATAATAATAATAATAATAATAATAATAGTCTTACAAAGTTGTGATTACAAGTTTAGAATTAAAATTAAGTGTTAGGAGAGTTTGTCGCTCCTATGAAATACCAAATTAATATAGTATTTTTTTAAGGCTTGTGATGTGTGGATATAGAATTGTGAATTAAATTTTGGCTTGTTGTTGCTTTATCAATTATTGTTACTTGTGAATTAAATTAAAAATTATGTTGACTTGTTGTTTTATAATCCATTGTGGAAACTATAATCTGAATGAATATTTTATTAAATTTTGAATATTGTAATTATGAATATTGATGATATTTTTTATGATATAGAAAATGATTTAGATATATAGAAATTTCACCTAACACAAAAAAGAGAACTTATTATTGTCACTATTCCTTTTATTAATACTATTAATAATAAAAATAATAATAAATTTTTAATGAACAAGATCTAGATAGAGAATAATCCATCTAAAGTATGAAACTATACTTAAAAAATATTATAGTGACAAAGTGTATCATACACCAACCTAAATTAAAATAATATTTAGTATGTATAAGTGAGGTTGGGCCGACCCTTTTTACACCTCTATTGGTGGACTATGGATTGGTTCATACACGAAGAAAATGCAATTAATGACGCGGTAGATCAATTACAAAGTTAGCTTTTAATTTTGATGAAATATATGTATTGGATGGACTATGGAGGATTAGCCCCTCATATTCTCTTCTATATCACGTAAGCCATGAGTCGGCGTATAGTGCATGGCAAAATAGGTACGTGATAACGTCAATCCGATGATATTATTGGTGTCAGTTTTACGTAGTTATTATAAAACAATACTAGCTAGAACTTTAAATAACAAAAAGTAAAGCACGTAACTATTTTTTTTCCTAAAACTATAAACCATTACCTATTAGATTCACAAACTAAGGAAATTTATAATAAAAGGCTACAATTTTAAACAATTACTTCTTACTAATTAGTAATTATTATCTAATTAATTCATATATATCTTAAAATTTTAAATTCATATTAATTTTAAATTTTAGACTAACGTGATTGAGTAATTACGTACACTTTAAAACTTGTTTAAAAAAACTTAATTTCATAATATATTCACGAGAACTGAATCATTGAATTGAAAAAGTAAAAATTGAAAAATAATTCGAGTTAATTGAACTAAACTATTTTATTAGTTTGGCAAACTTCTCAAATTTAAATAGAACTGATTTTTCTTTTTTTGCAATGATAAATATATAAGGAAAATAAAAAATTAAGAGAAACTTAACTTTTTTAAAAAATAGCTCAATTTAATTCAGTTCGGATCTCAAATATTATTTGAGTTCATTATTTCTTTATAAAAATAGTTTAATTTTGTATGCATATATATTTTTTGAACAGCCATACAGATTAGTGCTAGAACGACATATTAATATGGGTAGAAACATTGAAATTAATATTTGGAAAGTGAAGCATGGCATATATATATGGGTTGGTTAGAATGCATGGAAAGACCAGGAATAAACCTCATGTGATTCAAGGTAACCTTGGGATGTGCCTACAGAGGCAGAGATGCCAATCTGAACCCATTCCGGAACAACACTCTTCAAGTCGATTGTGTGACCCAAATCATACGACCTTACTTCATCACTTTCATCGTAGATTAAAGTGACTCCTAGGTAGTTGGTTGAAGCATTGTACCATATGGTGACGTTGGCTATTTCCCCATTATGCAACTCCCACGGCACTGTTTTGTCGGACTTAACGGAATTAACATCAACTCCAATGTGGTAGGGATGTCCACGTGGGTCCCAGTCCTCGTTGAAACAAGTGTCGAATTCCACAGCAAACGTTTGTCGGAACATGCTATAAGATGAGTCACCGAAAAGGCCAAGGAGGCCTCCAACGGAGCCATTGGGAATGACACTGTCTCGTGGTGCAATGAAGAATGCAATCCCATCAGCACTGTGTTTTTGGCTTGGCACTCTCACAGCGAAGGACAACTTGGTAACAAAGTTTTTGGACATGTTCGTTCTTCTGTTCCAAATGTGGAATGGCTTAGAATATAACACTCGTCCTACACTGCCATTAACTGGTTCGCCATCATTCTTTTTCTGGGTAACTTCTAATACCCCTGTTGCTGAAACTTGGGCATCACCTTGGAAGATTAGGTTACTATGATTGGGTTCGAACCTCTCAATGTCGAAACAATAAAAGGATTCTCGTTGCTCCTTCGCATGCGAGAGGAACAGAAAGGTTGACAGAAAGAGAAGAAGAATGGAATACATGTGCCCCATGGAGAGGAGATTAAATCGATCCAGTAGCTTTGCTTATTTTCTAGAAAGATAGTAGATCGATAGATGATATTACCTTGCGAATTCAATTCACAATCACCAATTATTTAATCTGTGAGGGTGTGTTATTCGGTGGAATCGCATAAACAAAAATATACTGTGTTCATTAAATGTGTAACTTTTTTGGTATTACGTAAACGTGTAAAATTTCATGCATGCATACTCAATATGTCTTCTTTTTTTCTTGTGTGTGGAAAAAGGATTCATATAACATCGAAAAACCTCGAGGGAAAGGGAGGTGAGAGTTGTCAAGAGGATGATATAAAATTCTAGCATTTACAACAAGCAGGTGAATATATAGGATACATTAAATAAGGCTTTGCCAATTGCTATTAAATATTAATCTATTTAAAAAATTTAAGACTATAGTTTAGTATGTATGACCTCTTTAAAAAGTTTGATTTTACGTGTTAACTTATTTAAATAGTTATTTAAAAAGTTTAGGATGATATATACAGTTTTTTTTTTTTGGATGAAAGTTACGTATTATTTCTTGTATAATGACAGTGAGATAAAAATCTACATATCTAAGAAAATATAAATTATGAAAATAAAACTATTATTACTTGTTTATATAATATATAATAAGCTTATTTTTTACGATTTAATTGATATGATTTTGACTAATTTATTTAAAAATTATTTTGCAATGACCCAAATCCGAGATTTTCAATTGCAAAGTATAATTTACTAATAGTCAATAAAGGAAAAACATTAAAAACGAATTCAATAACTTAATACATACGAAAATAAATAGGATTCAGAAAAGGAAAAATCAATAACATTAAACTCAGATCACAGAATATTATATAAATCTACCTTTGTTATAAATTTATCGATGTCATTAATGTCAAATTTATGAGTATTTGGTGCATGAAAATTTTTTAGTACTACTTTCTAAAAATATTGACGTCAACAACATTAGTTTCTTGCATTTAGTTTATTATTTAAAAAATAGAAGTAGTTTTTACATAAGTGTTCTCTAGAAATATTCACATAAGTGAGAAAACTAATACAATAATAACTTCATGCTAAACATATGAGTGTGCGAATCATCATAGAAAGTAAAATTTAAGCAATTTTGAGCCATTTTACTTATAACTTAATGAATTTTTCATTCAATATTTCTATTTTATTTATGAACGAAGTGTTTTACCCAATAATTATGTTATAGTTATTTATTTTGGTTGAATCAATCTTTAATAACTCATTCCCAAAAGATAAAAAATTTAATGTAATTTATAAATAAATTAATTAATATATTTTAAATTAAAATTTATTAAAAATGAATTATTTTTATTTTTATTTTCTTATTTAGTATCATACGACGTCAACAAAATGTTACAAATTTTAACAAAAGGAGAATTAATAAGCCTACAACGAAACATGGAGTTTCTGTTGCAGAATCGGTCTGAATGGAGTGAGAAAATTAATAATCAACAAGATATACAACTGAAAGGCAAGTTCCTCATCTCTTGTGCTTTATTCAAAATTAAACAAAGCATAGTCTTCGTGTGAAGAAAAATGAAGCATGCTCTTGCTCTCTCATACATGAAGGGTCGACTATCGATGTAAAAAGAAGAAAAACTAATCTCTTAAAATATGAGTTATACAAGATGGATGAAAATGAGACTATTAATGAAATATTTAGACCTTCCAAGAAATATACTCAATGGTCTCCAAATCCCTAGGAAAAAAGTTCACTCTAAAAGAAAATAATATGAAGAAAACAATAATATGCCAAAAAAATGTATAATTTTAGTTTAATATTTTTTCTTCCCTCTCAAATTATTTTTTTAATAATATTACATTCAAAATGTCTATTTATTATATTTTTATGCAATATTTTTTAAATTAAAATATTAAATTCCATTATTTTATTTATTTTATATAAAATAATGTTACTTAATTTATCTAATTGATAAAATATCCTATAAGTTGCGGAACATCGATCCATTGTTTTAATTATTCATTGATTTATTTGTAGTAAATAAAATTAGAGTCACTATATTATACGGATAAGATAAAAATTCATAATTAAAAAATATTAGATTAAATTAATTAAAACATACAACAAATTTTTAAAATTACATTAATATGCAATTTAATTTCGTCAATTTAAAATATGTTTAATAAATAATAATTTACATCTCTAATGGATAAAAGTATAATTTATTTAATGCTTTAATATATGAAAGATGAACTTACATCTTTAACAGAGAAGAGAGTATAATTTATATTAACGGTCTTAAGTTAATATATATTTCAACACAAAATGATAGTAGTATAACACCGATAGTTTTTAGTATATTTAAAAATATTAAATAAAATTGACTTATTTAAGTATAAAAAGAATTTAAGAACTTTTTTTCTTATAGATAATTATAGAGATTATTAAACTATGTACAAAAACTGTTGCTAACGTATAAGTCAAACATGTAACCTGTTGAATTTTTTATTTTTTTTATGAAAGGCAAAGAAAATTATAGATAATTATAGTTTTTTTCTTATTTATGATGTTGGTACCAGGGGTACCAAAGGCCCTTATACAAGATTTGGTGTGTCTAATGGCCGCTAGTGGAAAAACAGCTTTTAAAATCGGTTATTTTAACTTTTAAAATCAGTAACCGATCCATTTTAAAAGTTAGACTTTTAAAATTGGTTAAACAACTGATCTTAAAAGTTAACTTTTAAGATCGGTTGTTTTATAACCGATCTTAAAAGGGCGGTGAAAAAAATTTAAATTAGAACGGGCCATTCCAGGCTGTTCAAAAGGCCGAAAAAGTTAACTTTCAGTACGGCTCGTGCTGCATGGAGAACGGGCCGTTCTGAAAGGAGAACGACTCGTTCTCCATGCAGCACGGGCCGTTCTCCATGGAGAACAGGTTGTTCTAGGTTTGAAATTTACTCAAAATGAACCTACAACGAAAATAGAGACAAGAGAAGAACATGAGAAAACGAAAAGAGACACAAGAAGAGCATAAGAAGACGAAAATGAGAACAAAAACGACAACGAAATTTACCTTATTGAAGACTTTAGAAAATGAGAGCATAAAGAGTAAAAAAAGGAATGGAGGGAAAGATTAAGAAAATGAGAATGGAGGGAAATATAAAAGATTTCTAACAATACTTTTAAAATCAGTTATTTAAAAACCGATTTTGTATACTACATACAAAATAGGTTCTTAAATAACCTAGTTTAAAATTATCACTTTTAAAATCGGTCATAAAATAACCGATCTTAAAAGTGTTCACGTTATTTACAAAATTGCCACCACATCACTTTTAAGATCGGTTAAATTTGAACCGATCTTAAAAGTGTTCACGTTATTTACAAAATTGCCACCACATCACTTTTAAGATCGGTTACCTTGTAACCGATTTTAAAACTCCGATTTTAAATCTAATTTTTGCACTAGTGACCCATATACATTACATACCAGGAACCACCACCCTTATTTATCATCAGCCAACTAGCCCTGTTATGCAAAGTCTCCTACCTCGAGTATACATAGGCCCATATTCATTTGCCACTGAGAGAAAGAATAAGAAAATGATTTATCAAGAGATGTCAACCACGACCAAGAGAACAACATTATTACCTGTTGTCCAAGCTTTTGTTCATCGAAGTCACCTTGCTGAAATACACATTGGTTCCTCATTTTCCATGTACACCAGCACATCGCAACCCATAGTATCTACCATCTTTCCGTTTAGACTTTAGAAGATATTATAAAGGGGGAGCCGAGAAATTAGAGAATGCACTGTGACATAAAGGTGTCAGGCTCCCCATCAGCTGTAACCTATTGAAATAATGACATCATTAATTCAATAACATTCTTTCACGTTGAATTCAAATGCTGACATTTTTTTTTTCTGTCGAAATAATAACAATTAATTCAAAAAATATTCTTTAAAGTTGAATTCTAAGGCTGACATTTTCTTTTTATGTTGAAATAATTAACGACAATTAATTCAATAATATTATTTCTTGAACATTGACCATTGTTTTAACTCCCGTTTAAAGGTTATAAATTGCTTTAATTTGTTGGCCGTAATTTGACAGGTGGGGTGTTTTTGAATTTGCAATCGTACACTACTCCAATTGTCTAATTTATCAATATTGAGAAAAAATTATCTAATTTATAAGATTAAAAAAATGTTAATTTAATTGAAAGGTTAAATATCTCTTTTGGTCCCTTACAATATTTTTTTGTTTCAATTTAGTCTCACTTTAATTTTTTGTCTCAATTTGGTCCTCAATAACTTAAAATAGTGCAATTTGGGACTTCCGTCCAAATGATTTAGACGGAGTTAACTGTTGGCCACGTGACATCTACGTGGATGCCACGTGGATGTGCCCGTGGACGCCAAAATTCCGGAAAACCTGAAACCAGAACGGCCCAAATGGTATTACCAGCGTCACTCACAACCGCTGGATCCACAGTCGCCAAAAACGGTTTGCGGCGTATATTACAAAATGCAGCATAAAACCGCCACAAAATGAATTTTAATGGTACATGTTTAACAGTTTCTGACGGTTTAAAACCGCCACAAAATTGCTTAGCAAACCTATCACAACTCACTAGGGATATTTTAAGAAAGAATTAACTTATGTATTGTAATTTGATTATCTTAACAAATTTGGATACTCAAGCTAAAGCAATGTCAAACTGTTAAAGGTAGTTGGAGTTGATGCCTGGAAGAAGATTCATGTCCAGAGATTACAACAGGCAAAACACACAACTAAGTTAACCAATGCCTATATGCACTCTCAAAGAGCCTTGCACACGTGGTGATTATAAAAATGGCCTTCCCACTATGTATTTTCTCATCAATGAACATTTACAATCAAGATCTTTAAAAATCAGAATAACTATGACACGAGGCAAGATTATGATAACTTTGTTTTTCAAACAAAGCCAATAGGAAACCTTCTAATAAAGGTTAGAAATCTTAAAATTATACCAAGATTTGAGAAGTCTTTGAGTGATAGATGACAACAAAACTTACAAAAAATGTCCAAATAGTTTTGGTGATATTAACATGAAGATTTAAGTGATGTACATGAAAAACACCAACAACTTCAATCATTCACTTATTGGTCAATCAAGAAAATTACCCAAGAACATTAAGTTGTCAGTTGTCACTCTGGACTACATATAACTGTAATTGTGTCTGGATACCACATTAGGTGATACTTTTTTTTCTTTTGTTTTTTCTGTCAGTTAGATATAAATGTCCCATTAAGTTTGTTCTAGTTTTTTATGTTAAAAATCTAATGGAATTTTTGGATAACTTAATATTACTAGAAAAAAGTAAAACACTAAGTTATAAAGTCTGTAATTGTTATCAGATAAATCCAAAGTTATCACAAAACTGTTTACCAAGCAGTCCAATTTTGTAATTCATGTAATTTTTTCCACTCAATACAATTTTAGTTCTAACGCATATCAAGAAACACTAGGAACTTTATAAAATTAAAATGTGAATCAAATAAAAAACTCACCATGCATTCCATTTCTCCAACAGAAAACAAACCATCTGGTGTTACTTCTGCAAATCAAAGGTGAAAGGAAACTAATTATTGGAAAGTGCACATGGTTCCAATTTGTCATGAATAAGATTTGGTTCAATGATGGCTGACAGATAAAACTGGAGATATTAAGACAGGTAAGCTAACCATTGCGTTTCACTCCCAAGTGTTTTAATAAGGCTTCTTCAATTCCTTGTGAACCACGTATCATACAAGGTGTTGTTCCACAAACCAACAAATGGTACTTCCCAACCTAAAAGCAAGTTGATCCAAATAAGTTTTGGTCTGTATTAATATGGATTAGCAAAATTGAAAGCAGCAAGCACAATATGATTTCACAAAACCAAGTTTCTTTTTTGCAATAGTTAATAAGTTACAATTTTATATTTACCAAATCATGAAAATGGAATAGTCTAAAATTATTTAATTCTATATATCACATGTTATGCACATTTTTCTATTAGTAGATAGTTATCTAACATTAAGTTATATTAATAAAGTAAACAAATAATAGAAGAAAATTTTCATAAAAGCAAGAATAATTAAGTTATACATTAGCTAAACAAGCCAAGCTTAATAAACACTATCTATGAGCACAATAACCCCAGTTCATTAACTTGCAATCTTTTGTGGAGCACCTTTTTCCATTTGACAGGAGTACATGTGACCTGCTCAGAGAATCAGGCATGGTCCTTTGATGTGTTTCAAGACATGCTAAAAAGAATACATCAGGTAGAAGGCAAACATACCGCATTCATTGCAGAAACAGGGAGCCACCCTCCATGCTGCTGCTGGGCAAGATCCAAAAGAGGGATCCACATTTTAAGTTTGGGTTCTAAAATCCAAATGCGACGAAACATTACCTTTGCTTGGTTGGCATCGGAGAATTCCCATGGGAGGTTAGGGTTGTTGTCCGGTGAGTCAAGGTGTTGTGCCAATCAAAAGTGGATGCATCAACAATCACAATCACGAAACGAAAATCTGAGAAAAATTGAAGAGAAAAACGAAGAGCACTTACGTAGTTCAGAGCGATTGAGAAAGCCCTCGAAGGCTGAGAAATGGGAAAACCGAAGAATTAAAGAAACAATCAGAATTCGGAAACGGAAGTGAGAAAAAAGGATTGGGAAATGGACGGAAAATTTGACGGATCTCGTTGAAGCGTTTCGCGGTGGGCGTGCCAGCATTCTCGAGGAGCTACACGAAACAGATCGCAGAGTGAGAGAGAAAGTAGAGAGGGTGAAGTGAAGGGAATTGCACGCGTCTGTGACCTGCATAAGTTTTTTATTTTTGATTTTTATTCTGTTAAAAATAATATTTAAAAAATGGTTGCCACATTGTGGCGGTTTTAAACCGCTGAAAATATTATTCTTTTGTGGCGATTAAAATAACCGCCAGAAACATAATAATTTGTAGTACAAAGCGCGCCTTTTTGCTTCTAGAACGTCAGAACGGTCCGTTCCAGAACGCCATGCTTTTTATTGTATTTTTTTTATTATATCTATATTGATAAATATATAATAAATAAAAAATATAATAAATTAATATTCATTTATGAATAAAATTAAAAAAAATCAAATAAGATAAGACCTTCCAAAATATTTCTTTGATTTGAATTTATCCAGTTCAAAATCTTCTAAAATACCGCAATGTATTTCAAAAATTGAAAATAAAATTCAGGGTTTAGGGGTACTTCCTCAAGAACAGGTTGTTATTGTTGGGGTACATCGTCAATGACTTCAAGGAAAAACATTGTTTCATTTTATCCTTGATTGTATAGTGTCAATTTGGTAGTAAGTGGTTCACTCCAGTTTGACTAACAATGAAATAAAACTTGTTACCATTGTCCTTAGTGATACACTGCATCATCCTTAATGGTATACTGTATAGCCCAAATGTTTAGCAATTGAAGTTATTAATCCTCGTTAACAATATTACCAAATCTAGTGTTTGAAATGCTTTGTATTTTGATTTTTTGTGCACGAAATTATGGACCAGAACGGCCAGAACGGGCCGTTCTGGTTCCAGGTGTATTCAAGTATTTTTAGACCCACCTACGTGGCATCTACGTGGCATCCACGTGGCCACCAGTTAACTCCGTTTAAATCATTTAGACGGAAGTCCCAAATTGGAACGATTTAAATTATTGAGGACCAAATTGAGACCTAAAATTAAAGTGGGACTAAATTGAAACAAAAAAATATTGTAAGGGACCAAAAGAAGTATTTAACCTAATTGAAACGATAAATTTATCTTATTTATATTTTTTAAAATTATTTTTATATTACTTACCTCTCTTAGTCAATATTCATATATATATATTCTCTAATTAATTAGAATGCATGTTCTATATTATAAATTTTTTTCCTAATTAATACTCATTTTTGTTGAGATACAAATAAGTCTTATATCGATAAAATAATAGAAAAAATAACAATTTATAAGATACAAACATTTTTCAATATTTGAGAGACCTTTTAGGTGATGACCGAAAGTAAAATCTCATATCTGATATCAGAGTTGTAGGTTGGATTTGGTGATCATAAAATAATCCTATCAATTTTTCTCCTAATCAATTAGAGAGTTTATCAAATTAAAATAACACACTTTAATTATAAGTATTTTATTCTAAAAATAATTAATATATTAGACAATATAAAATAAGTCTTATATAAAGGAACCAACGATTATTCTAAATGTGATCTTATAAATAAGAACAAAGGTAATATTTTTTATTATCCATAAAAATTAGTAGCATGTTTAAATCCAAAATTATGTAGATAATATCTCAGTTTTCACCACTAGGTCCAACAATATTACTCTATTTGATTCTAAATATAATCAAAAAATTAAAAATTCTTTTACCTTAAATGAAAAAGCGAATTAACATTTTTTAATTACACTAATCTCATTTAAAAAAAAATAACCTGATTTTTTAAACTGTTATTTCTTAAAATTTGATATTTAGAATAAAAAATCAATAGAAATATGGTCCGATTAAATGAAAGGATATTTTAAAAATTGTAACATTAAATAAAATAAATTATTTATATTTTAAAAAAATACAGATGTTTTTTTTCTTCTTCTGTTGATTATATTTAGAATATGATGAAAAAGTATAATGTAGAACGGTGCGTGTTATTAAATAAATTATTAGTTTGATTTATTGTTAACCCTCACACATGTGAAAGCCTTAGTCAGGATTAGTGCATTCCTTGATGATCATCGTCCCTGTGCAGAGTCAAGAAGAAAATAGTGTTAAAAATGATTATGCGGATGACATTTTAGACGAAAAGAAAACTATGCGTGTTAAAAATTATCTGAATAACGGGGTTTAATTTTGCTCTATCTCCATTGTCGATCCAAGGATCGATAATAACATGAATCAAAAAATAATTTGTAATTCTTTTTATTATTAAATTCAGTTTAATGCCTTTTCTTCCTTGTCAAATGGAAAATATTTTTTTTAAAATTATTACATTTAAAATTTATATTTATTATGTTTTTATGCAATATTTCTAAATTAAAATGTTCAATTCATTGATTTATTTGTAGTAAATAAAATTTGGCAACGATAAAATAAAATACATAAGTAAAAAGTATTAGATTAAATTAATTATTAACATTTTTTTTTAAATAATTTAAAATTTAATTAATGGACATTTTAGTTTGCTCACTTTAAAATATGTTTAATGAATAACAATTGAAATGGTTTTTAAAATTTATATTTAAATTTAAAATTAAATTTATCTGTTAATAAACTTTTTAGGAATAAATATTGTGTTGATTCGTCCAAATCTCTACTTTGTACTAATATTGGACTACTAGCAAAGGAGATTAAATAATAACTTAGAATTGTAAGTATACTAATACTTGAATATGTATCATATATCATGCATATAATATAGTCTAGTGGTTCGTTGGGGAGGGGTTGAGATAATTTGAAGCACCATTTTTGTAATTTTTCCTATCTTTACAAAAAAAAAATTATACAACTTAAATTATCAGTCAAATAACTCTTATACATCACTATACTATTTTTATTCAAGGTAGCTTCAAAAGGACGACCAAATCTAGCGTACTAAATCTCATAAAAATATCATCAAATTTCAAAGTTTTTTAACACCGATAAGACACACACATATGATATAATCACACAAATGTATAAAATTAAAATAATTTTTTTTATCTTCGAAGGAAAGTATAATTTTACAATCATTTGACAAGAAGAAATTAAAATATTAGTTATTAAAAAAATATATTAATAAAACGTGAAATTTATTTCATTAAATTCACATATATAAAATTATTAAATCCAACTAATATTTGAACCAAATAAATTCAACGAGCAACCAAAAAATTAAAAAATATAATGTTGTCAGATTATTTTTGTAAGATTTCATGCAATTTTCAAGATATTTAAAAGCCATTTGGTTTCAAACAACATTGTCTTCCTTTTCATGTAAACCGTATATCTCAAATTTAAAAGTCATCATTGTTTCACAATAAACGAGCATACCAGACCATAATAAACATTAGAAATGAAATAAAATATTAAATGTAATAATGTTATTGAATTAATTAATTTTATTAATTATCATTAGGGATGGCAATGGGGTCGGGTATGAGTTTCATAATGTTCCCGCGAGTCAAACCCGTCCTTGTATTCATACCTATCGGGTATATAATTTTCATCTTCATCCCCATCGAGTATCAGGTATACTCGTACTTATAAAAAATTATTATTATTTTTTTTGTAAAAAAAAATATTTTTAAATTATTTTTTATTATATTATAATTATAATTAGGTTGTTTCTTTATCTCATATTATAATAAATAATCACACATAATAAAATATTAAAATTCTTTAACACAATTAAATTGAAAGTGAGTATTAAATTGAGAATGGGAACGGGAACGGATACGGAGATGAGTACGGGACCGGTAAGTATATACATGTACCCTTATCCAATTTAATGTATCGAATTTTACTCGTACCCGGTCAAATCGGGTATTCCTCGTCAAAGTCGGGACAGTTCGGGTATTTCTCGTCAAAGTAGGAACGGTTGGAGTATTACCATCCCTAATCATCATCAAAACTTGGCTCAGGAAAAAAGGCAGTATTTGAATTAATGTTAGTGAATTAATTGTCATTAATTAATGCATTAAAAAAAGAATAACTATAACTGTAATTATTTCAGCAGAAACTGGTGTGAGAATTTGTTTGACTTTTTGGTGCTGGGGTGTTTTTAAAGTTGCAAATTGCAATTGTACAATGCAGAAGTGTGTATTAGTTTGGTTTATTATTATTTGACAAACATGTCGAAGGTCTTAGTCACAATTAGTGTATTCTTGATGATCATGACAGAAATGGGCACAGTGCTTGTGCAGAGTGAAAAAGAAAATGGTGTTGATAGCATTTTAGACGGAAAGAAAACAGTGCGTGTTAAAAATGATTTGAATAATGGTATTGTTATGTATCTCCATTGTCGATCGAAGGATGATGATCTTGGTCAACATGTTCTTGCTGTTGGAAAAGACCAAGAATGGTCCTTTCGAGACAACATTGGTGATACCACTCTTTTCTGGTGCACGTTGGATGCAGCAAGTTGGGAATTCAAGTTTGAAATTTACAGTGCCAAAAGGGATACAAAGTGTACTTCCCAATGTAACCGAAGTATCAGATCTGATGGAGCTTATTTTTGGAATCAGCTTGATCAAGTCTGGGAGAAGAGATTCTCATGGAACATACATCTCTAAAAATTTTACTCAACTAAAAAATTAAATAAAATATTTTCTTCCTTTTTTGCCAATTAATTGTGGCGTTTCTTATTTTATTACTTTTTATGACGTTGGAATTGTGTCTATGAGTGAATCTTGTGTTCCAAAAGGTTTTTCATAGCAAGTACAGGGTCTAATATCAGATAAATATAATTACCAATACAGGGATGTTCATCGGTAGTTCGAATATAGTTTAGTTAAGCTTATTATCTGATTTGATTAAACTTTTACGAGTTGAATCTGTGCAACTTTTTTATTTATTTTTTAAAATTCGAACTAAACCAATATAATCAGCGTTGTTTTGGATTGGGCCAATTAACTCCGGCCATTTAAAAATATTGTTTTAATTTATATTTTTTCTTTAAAATAATCAAAATCTATTACCAAACTCATAAATGGATTTGGTGTCAAAAATAAAACTCATAAATTAATGGTTGAGCTTTAGTGAATTGACTTACGAACTAAACACTAAAAAAATACAAATTAAAATAATTGAACCAGTTTTCCTATTAATCGTTAGCTAAATCCATTGGATTAGCGTAAAAAATTGGGTCAATTATAGGGGAAAAAAAAAGGTCCAAAACAATTCATATTCAAAAAAGAAAAACCAGTCATCTCATATTCTCACCAAAAGTATAAACTACGAGAAATTTGAAGTCACACGAAATAATATTAACTATTTTGTCGGATCCCTCCCAAGCAAAAAGAATTATTCACACCACAATTTATTTTTCTAGGAGTTCTCCATTTAATCAACTCTTATATATAAAATATGATGACTATTTTGTATAAAAATATTTTTGTATATTCCATGTATAATTTATTCTAAATTTTTTATTAAAAATTACGGCAACAATCAATTAACAGTATTAAATATTGGAGTTGATAAACAAAATTTTGTAATTATAGTATTTAAAAAATGTAAAAATTGGAGCGCTGTGGCTGCTAGCGCATACTGAGCGCTATGACAGACAGCGCCTTTCGTAAATTATTTTTAATTTTTTAAATATAAAAACTGATAAATGAATTAAAAAAAAAAATTTCCAAAAAAAGCGGAAAAAAGAATTGAAATAAGAAAATATGTAAATTTTTAAAAATAAGTAATATAATGTAAAAAAATATTTTAAAAACGAAAAAAAAATATAAATACTGGGGCGCTATGGCCCATAGTTCCACTCAGGCGCTATGGCCCATAGCGCCAGTTATAAAAATATATCTAATATTTTTAAAATATAAATTTTTTTACAAATTTATAAAAAAATAACGGGTAAAAGGGAAAAAAAGATTGAAATAAGAAAAAATGTTAATTTTAAAAAATAAGTAATAAAATGTAAAAAATAATTTAAAAACGAAAAAAAAAATTTAAATTGGGGCGCTATGGCCCATAGCTCCACTCAGGCGTTATGGGCCACAACGACTGTGTTAAAAAAATACATTTTATTTATTTTAAAATTACGTTTTTTTAAAACTTAATTTTCTTTTTATAATTATATAATAAATAGTTCACTTTATTATATTTATTTTACATTATTATTATTTTCCTTTTTTATTTTTTTCTTTACCCAGTGTCGCTATGGGCTACATAATTTTTTTAAGCCCATCAGCTGTGGTGGGCCAGCTGATAGCGACACTGGTCCAGCCCAACCAAGCCAAAAAAAAAACAAAAAAGCCACGTGTCATGGGAGTCGCTATGGGCCATAGCGACACCTAATAAAATAGCCCCAAAGGTATAATATGTTTCAAAACAATCCCATTTTGGTATATTGTTTGTAAAACTGCACCACAATGGTCGTTTAGCCTGCCTTCGGGGTAGTTCATACCACTCTTTTCCAAATAATTCTCTTCCCTTCGGATTATTTTTTAACAATAAATAAGCATTAAGTGTATGTTTAAATTCTCGTCGGTAATCCACGTTTTAACAAGTTTTCACCTTAAAATACATAAAAAATAATAAATAATTACTCTCTAATCCACGATTGAAGTTTGTGGATGAGAATCTAAATATTATGTGTTATATAGTGATGCTTCGAAAACGGGTTTGAGTGAATCATTGATGTAAGAAGGAAAGGTAGTAGCTTATATTTCTAGGTATCTAGGTATGAAGAAAAAAATTCATGAAAAAAAAATTACCTTACCTGTAACCTTGAATTAGAGATTCATTACTCTCTAATCCACGATTGAAGTTTGTGGATGAGAATCTAAATACACGCTAAAAGTCTTAGGTTGATGATATATACACCTCCTTTTTCCTATAAGTACACCTCCTTTTCAAAAAAATAATTAAAATTTTAAAATATTCTTAATTCTCGTCGGTAATCCACGTTTTAACAAGTTTTCACCTTAAAATACATAAAAAATAATAAATAATTACTCTCTAATCCACGATTGAAGTTTGTGGATGAGAATCTAAATACACGCTAAAAGTCTTAGGTTGATGATATATACACCTCCTTTTTCCTATAAGTACACCTCCTTTTCAAAAAAATAATTAAAATTTTAAAATATTCTTAATTTTTTACTTTTTTTCTTTAATTTTACATTCACAATATTTAATTTAGTAATTTTTTTACAGATCTTTCTTTTTTCTTCTTTTTTTCCTTTTTCAATTTTTACATGCACCCCGTTATCTTTCCTTCACTCCACCTATTTTGGTAGCATATAAAAATTGAAAGAGAAAAAAAAAGTGTGAAAAAAGAAAAAAGTAGAAAATTGAAAGTTAAAGGTATAAAATTAAAAAATATATATATAATATTTTATAATTTTTTAAAAAAAATAAAGAAGGTGTACTTATAAAAAAAACAGGAGGTGTATATATCATGAACCTTCCGAAAAGAACTTTCCGCCAGAATAATTACGGAAAGTACTTTCCAGAATACTAAAATTATTATTCCAAAAATAATTTTTCGTCAAAATAATTATGAAAAATACTTTCCGTAACACTAGAATTACTATTGCGAAAAATTCTTTCCGGAATATTAATAGTGTGTGTATTTGTTACCATAATTCCGGAAAGAGCTTTACGCAATAGTAATTTTAATGTTACGAAAAATACTTTCCAGAATTATTCTGACGGAAAGTTATTTCCGGAATAGTAATTTTAGTATTCCGGAAAGAACTTTCCATAATTATGTACAAATACACCTCCGAAAAAAATTTTCCAGGATAATTTTTTTATTTTAAATAATATTAAGAATAATTTAGGAATTTAATATATTTTTTTTAAAAAGGGGGTGTATGTATAAAAAAATGGAGGTGTATATATCATCAGCCAAAGTCTTATCACGATGGTTTTGGGAGGCCCAGCCCATAAAAAAGCCCAATGAAATCGTTTCTGCAAAAAGAATTATTTTAACGCAAAACTTAAGAAAATAAAAAGGAAGACAATGAAATAAAAGGAAAATAAATAGATTTTTCACCTGTTTGTTATAATAGAAAACAGATGAAAAGAAAAGTGAAAATTATTTTATTTGATTAAGAGAAAAAAGTTTCATGAAATCACCTAGCGCCTGTAATAAATCATTTTAAAATTTGTTTTTAAATATTATACATGATTAAAAAATTATAAAAAAATTAGTTGGTAAAAGGGAAAAATAGAACTGTAATTTATAAAAATATAAATTAAAAAATATATATAATATAATGCAATAAAAAATTAAAAACGAAAAAATAAAAATAAAAAATGGGGCGCTATGGCCCAGAGCGCCTGTTAGGCGTCATGGCCCATAGCGCGTGTAGCGCTTCTAATTTTCACCTTTTGCTGGGACATTAATAATGATTTGAAGTGTTGAACAAAAGTGGTGGGACAGTTGGATGCTCATAATTTGTTGAGATATATTTATAATTTTATGAAAATTGTAATAGAGAACATTAAAAATCATATTTTACTCTTCGTCAATTTTGATACCATTTTTTTTTACCTTTTACACGTCTTGTAACTTTGAAGTTTTTAACTGGTGTATATATATGTATATTCCATGTATAATTTATTCTAAATTTTTTATTAAAAATTACGGCAACAATCAATTAACAGTATTAAATATTGGAGTTGATAACGAAAATTTTGTAATTATAGTATTTAAAAAATGTAAAAATTGGAGCGCTGTGGCTGCTAGCGCATACTGGGCGCTATGACAGACAGCGCCTATCGTAAATTATTTTTAATAATTTTTAAATATAAAAACTGATAAATGAATTAACGCCAATTATTTTTAATAATTGGAGCGCTATGGTCCATAGCGCCAGTTATAAAAATATATCTAATATTTTTAAAATATAAATTTTTTTACAAATTTATAAAAAAATAACGGGTAAAAGGGAAAAAAAGATTGAAATAAGAAAAAAAATGTTAATTTTAAAAAATAAGTAATAAAATGTAAAAAATAATTTAAAAACGAAAAAAAAAATTTTAAATTGGGGCGCTATGGCCCATAGCTCCACTCAGGCGTTATGGGCCACAACGACTGTGTTAAAAAAATACATTTTATTTATTTTAAAATTACGTTTTTTTAAAACTTAATTTTCTTTTTATAATTATATAATAAATAGTTCACTTTATTATATTTATTTTACATTATTATTATTTTCCTTTTTTATTTTTTTCTTTACCCAGTGTCGCTATGGGCTACATAATTTTTTTAAGCCCATCAGCTGTGGTGGGCCAGCTGATAGCGACACTGGTCCAGCCCAACCAAGCCAAAAAAAAAACAAAAAAGCCACGTGTCATGGGAGTCGCTATGGGCCATAGCGACACCTAATAAAATAGCCCCAAAGGTATAATATGTTTCAAAACAATCCCATTTTGGTATATTGTTTGTAAAACTGCACCACAATGGTCGTTTAGCCTGCCTTCGGGGTAGTTCATACCACTCTTTTCCAAATAATTCTCTTCCCTTCGGATTATTTTTTAACAATAAATAAGCATTAAGTGTATGTTTAAATTCTCGTCGGTAATCCACGTTTTAACAAGTTTTCACCTTAAAATACATAAAAAATAATAAATAATTACTCTCTAATCCACGATTGAAGTTTGTGGATGAGAATCTAAATACACGCTAAAAGTCTTAGGTTGATGATATATACACCTCCTTTTTCCTATAAGTACACCTCCTTTTCAAAAAAATAATTAAAATTTTAAAATATTCTTAATTTTTTACTTTTTTTCTTTAATTTTACATTCACAATATTTAATTTAGTAATTTTTTTACAGATCTTTCTTTTTTCTTCTTTTTTTCCTTTTTCAATTTTTACATGCACCCCGTTATCTTTCCTTCACTCCACCTATTTTGGTAGCATATAAAAATTGAAAGAGAAAAAAAAAGTGTGAAAAAAGAAAAAAGTAGAAAATTGATTATTATATAAATTGGGCGTTAGAATCGGGCGTTACATTACACATGTGAATTACACAAGTTAAAATACTATATATCTAAACAAAAAATAAAAAAGAAAAGAAATTTAATGAACGTATGAAAAAATGATGAACGTAAATGAATTTATGATAATCTGGAAATTTCGATCCGAACACACAACCTAAAACTAGAATGAAGCACAAGTTACAGAATGAGTTTGAGAAGGAAAAACGATGGATCTCGGATTCTGGTATGGTAGTTTAAATTTAAGAAAGAATGGAAAGTAATAAATAAAAAAGTGGTTCATGGTGGTAAGTTAGGGAACTGAAGGTGAAGTTTTAGATGAGTAAGTTTTGAATGAGTTTGAGTGAAAAGCGCAACACCACGAGCAAAGGCAAAACAACCTGTCCCTCCAATCACCTTCAACTCTTCTTTGTCCCCACCAGCCTGCACGCTGAGGCTACCCGAGTGATCCGGTGTATCAAAACTCAGATATATAACGTCGAATAACGCAGATTGTTCAAACTGCTCCCTGGGGATCACAAACCCTTGCGCTTTTCCCACCACACGTGATGTGTTCTCTTGGCCCTCCGTCAGGACGCGGCGAAAGATGAAAGCCCCACCATCTTCCCTTGGTACCAGGTGAGTGTTTGAGGTTGTTATTATACCAGGTTGTTGGATGTACAAGGATAGATCCATCCATGGCCTGGAATGGCTCTTCTTGTGGGTCACTGCCAGAACAATAACTGCTATCGTTGCTAGAGAGACGGCACTGCAGAATATTATCCTTCCCAACATTATGCTTTTCCACACAATTCTACAAATCTACTTTCTGCTCCTCTTTATTATCACACCAAATTACTACCTCATTTTTCCTTTTAATATGTTATTGCCAATGCCAACCTAACCCATTTTTCAGTTTGGTACCTAAACCATTGGGATGAAAATGAAAAAATCCTTCATGCCTCATGCTTCTGCTGTCTTCTTGTCGTCTAGCTTTGCATCAGGAATATCATCAGCTTCTTCCTTTCACTCCTAACCTTTACACATTCTCTATTTTATTTTTCTTTTCTTTCCACTTACTTCCCCTACTCTACTGCTGAAAGAAAAATATTATTATCTCATACAAGTGCTGCCACCGCATGTAGTACTTAGTCATTTACTTTTTTTTATAAAAAAATACATTATTACACTGTAATTTAAATTTGTGTATAAAGGGTGTACAATGTATACCCTTCAACTTAGAAACATTAAACCTATTTCAGCACCCTTGGTAGCTTAAGCTGGTAGCTGAAGCCTGTTCAACATCTTTGACAGTCGAAAATCTTTCACATGGAAGCCATTAATCCCGTTCGGCCCTCTCCGTAACCGAAGCCTATTCGGCGCTCCGACGGCCGATAGGATCAACAAATAGAACTTCCCCTAAATGACTTAATTATCTTTAATTAATGGTTAGAGGCTAATCTCAAGCACAAAGCCAATTTATGGCATATTACCTAATTTAGTAACTCTAGTACAGACTGTTCAAGAACTGAATCTATTAATGTCAGTATAAATAATTCATATCTCAAGATAAAGTTAGTGTTCATTTATTATTATCAATATTAGAATATCAACAAACTTTCATTCAACCTTCAGATTATGAAAAAATTATTAATGTGCCCTTAAAACAAGTACAAAAGGCGATCACTTATACGTCTATCATTCTTTTATCGTGTCAAAAGTCTCGTAACAGTAAAAATCAAAATAGTTTATAAATATCTTTCCTAAAGCTACTGCTGTCTTTTTTTTTCCTTTTTTTTTTTAAAGACAAAACGGTTACATTCCAACTAATATTAATTGTTCAAACAGATAATACCTCGTATGTGTATGCGTTAGGTTTTATGTATTATCCAACTAAGTTATTCTACAAACTCGGGTTGTTCAGCATCTGGGCTCTAATTTGCTAGGAATTGAACATAAGCCCAATAAGTTTCGTTATTTTTGTAAAAAAAAAAAAAAATACAAACACTGAGGACTGTCCTTTAAATTGGAATATACTTGAATAGTAAAGCAACTAGCACGAACCCCTTTTTGTTCGATAAGGTCGGCAATGCAAGGGAATTTTATTTCTTCGGTCTCTAACTATATCATTGAATAATTTGTCAAATATTTTGCTTAAGTTTGTTCTAAAAACACCTAGTTAATTTGTTAGGCTTGGAAATTATGCCTCGCTACAGATCAATTTCAGAAAGGACACTAAAAACTTGGAAATACATATCAGCCTAACGTTGTTCCACTTAATGAATTCACATAATCTGAACCCTTATCCAGGATTAGATCTCTTAATTAAAAGAAATTATAATGTGTATATGACTCTTGACAGTTTGTGTCACCGACAACATGCACTGCCGCATGCTCTTGCTACAAGTACACGAGTGAGCCAATCAACAATATCTGATTTCAATGCAAATTATTTATGTCCGGGCCACATTCCTATTTCAAAGTACTGCAGTTTAGTAGACACACTAGACCCACAACATCAATCGTCCTTACTCCATGCATGTACTCTTCCTTTATATCGTCCTTAATTATGCCTTTTTCCTTTTTTTTAAAAAACAAAATGTACAATGCTGGTGAGATTGATATTGAAAGCATAACCAGCCTCCATATATGAAATGATAGTATTTTGCAAGGAAGTTGAACTTGGACAAGAACTATTGCAGTGATTATATGAACTATGAACCGTTAAATAAGTGAACAAGTAAGTAGTTTTAGTTAGCTTTCTCCTAATATTTGGGGGATTAGGAGGGGAGAACAAGTGAATCTAATTATTATTATTATTTTTGAATAGTTTTGACTTGGACATTCTAAGAAGAACAAATTCCATATAATCTACTAGACTAATCTAAAACCATATCTCTTTCTTCTTTCGTACATTCACTGTTGTCGGTAACAGCCTCAGAAGTCATGATGAACTAGATGTTATTGCAGGAACTTCACTCATTGCATTGCACGTTGTTTAGAAAATGAGAATAGTTATTGTAGGAGCCTCATTCATTGCATGTTGTTTTAAAAATGGAACTATATTCTGACGAACCACACCGTGGTTTGCATTAAATGAGAATGATAATCCCGTGGCCGCAATTGCTGATGCGATTCAGTCATATGATTTGCCACCAGTGGTCGGATTTTGCAAGTGGGGTGACCCACCTGTTCTAAGTCCATAATCCATATCATTCTCCCCCTATTAGTTGAAAAAGTTTTGCACAAAATGGAACAAAAAATGCAAGTGGTTGGAGACTAATTCACGTAGATTAGTGGTATGGTTAGAATAATGTTTATAAGTAAAGAATAACTCTTCTCTTACAATCTGATTTTTTAAGATCGAGTTATACTCTAAATTACTTTTTTAATATAGTGTTATAGATATTATAGCAGGTTAAGATTCAGCTCTGTCCATTATTATCATGGTGCCTGATGCAAACTTCAAGCTAGAGATTGTCAAATCTTCAATGTAAGGGAGGTGGTAGTTGTAGAAAGAGTATAAACAAGATTGTAGGGTATTTCTAATATGGAATTAATTCCCTTATCAGTGTGCATCCATGTCTAGCTAGCTAATTGTTGTTTCTCATGAATTAATCCCAAATAATTAATATACTTATTCAGTTCCCACTTTCCATCATTTTCTCATTTTCCCTACACTGTACAAGTGC